GTAGAGACGGGGTTTCACCATGTTGACCAGGATGGTCTCGATCTCTTGACCTCGTGATCCACCCGCCTCGGCCTCCCAAAGTGCTGGGATTACAGGCTTGAGCCACCGCGCCCGGCTAAAATTAAATTATTTTAAAAAAATAGGCAACGTACTTGAGTAGACATTTCTCTAAAGAGGATATACATATTGGTTGAAATATATATGAAAAGCTACTCAATAATAAAGTCATTAGGGAAATGCAAATCAAAACCACAATGACATGCCCCTTCATGCCCATTTGGATGGCTGATATTAAAAACAAACACATTTTAAAAAGGAAATGAAAAATAACAAGGGTTGGCAAGGATGTGGAGAAATGGGAACCACATTGTGCGTTGCTGGTAGGAATATAATACGGTGCAGCTGCTGTGGAAAAGAGTTTAGCAGTTCCCCAAAAAGATAAACACCGAATTACTAAGCAATTCAGTAATTCCCCTCCTAGATACAGACTCAGAAGATCTGAAAGCAGGGACTCAGATACTTGCACGCCAATGTCCACAGCAGCATTATCTGTAATAGCTAAAAGCTGGAAACAAGCCAAATGTGTGTCAACAGATGAATGGATCATCAAAATGCAGGAATCACATACAATGGACTTTTATTCAGCCTTAAGAAGGCATGCAATTGGCCAGGTGGCTCATAGCTGTAATTCCAACACTTTGGGAGGCAGAGGCAGGTGGATCGCTTGAAGCCAGGAGTAGTTTGAGACCAGCCTGGCCAACATGGTGAAACCCCGTCTCTACTAAAAATACAAAAATCAGCCAAGTGGCGCATGCCTGTAGCACCAACTATTTGGGAGGCTGAGATGGGAGAATTGCTTGAACCCATTAGGTAGAGGTTGCCATGAGCCAAGTTCGTTCCACTGCACTCCAGCCTGGGCCACAGAGTGAGGCTCTGCCTCAAAAAAATAAAAATAATGCTGGGTGCGGTGGCTCACACCTGTAATCCCAGCACTTTGGGAGGCTGAGGCAGCTAGATCACCTGAGATCAGGAGTTTGAGACCAGCCTGACCAACATGGGGAAACTCCATCCCTATTGAATGCAAAAAATTAGCCAGGTATGGTGGCCCATGCCTGTAATCCCAGCTACTTGGGAGGCTGACACAGAAGAATTGCTTGAACCCGAGAGGCAGAGGTTGCAGTGAGCCAAGATTGCACCATTGTACTCCAGCCTGGGCAACAAGAGCGGACTCCATCTCAATATACATATATACTGTATATTATATGTATTTATACATTTACATTCTGGGAATACATAGATACTGTATAGAGCAATACTGTATATTAATGTATTAATATATATTATTGGACATATTGATACATTATATATGTATAACACAATATACATTATATATTAATATATTAATGTACTAATATACTATATATTAATGTATATTTATAAATATACATATACATTCTGGGAATACATATATACAGTATATATTTATATATATAATTATATATAAATGTATACATGGATATATACTTACATATACATATATAATACAGTATATATATATTCCCAGAATGTATTAAATACATATATATGTATTTATACATATAATATACAGTATATATGTATATGTACTTTTTTGTACACTATATATGTATCCAGGATATGTATTCCCAGTATATATACATGTATATTCATATATATTAATATGTATATATCCTTAAATATATATTCCTAGCTCTGTTGACTGAAAGAGCCTAGAAACAATGACCAACCCAGTAACAAAGCCAAAGTGGTCTTGAAGTACCACTTCCCATTAGAAGAAACCAAAACTTCTTGAATAAATGAATGAGTCCAGGTACAGGGTAGAAACGAAGTGCCATTCACAATTGCTACAAAGACAATAAAATACCTAGGAATACAACTAACAAAGGATGTAAAAGACCTCTTCAAGGAGAACTACAAACCACTGCTCAAGGAAATAAGAGGACACAAACAGATGGAAAAACATTCCATGCTCATGGTTGGGAAGAATCAACATCATGAAAATGGCCATACTGCCCCAAGTAATGTATAGATTCAATGCTATCACCATCAAGCTACCTATGACCCTCTTCACAGAACTGGAAAAAACCACCATAAACTCATATGGAACCAAAAGAGAGCCCAAACAGCCAAGACAATCCTAAGCAAAAAGAACAAAGCCGCAGTCCTCCCTGCTGTAAATGTGGTGACTTCGGAAGCTCCAGCTCAGTGGGCAGGCCAGTTGGAGATTCTCTGGGAACCCCTGGCACCTGGCTGTCTCATTCCACCCTCTAATGAAGTGCATCTAACTGCCGTTAGAAAAAGGGTCAAGTTGTTACCATGGGACCCAAGGACCTCAACTTTTATCACCTTATTAGACTATCGGGTGTGGTCAGAAACCAGTGCTGGTGAACTCAGCTGCATAACTGGGGATGACATAGAAAGGGAGAATCAGCTGAGAGATTTCCAGCCATGATGGAAACAAGCACAGGTAACAGAAGTAAAAATGGACAAATGAAATTACTTCAAACTGAAACATTTCTGCATACAAAGGAAACAATCAACAGAATAAAAAGAGACCTACAAAGTGGGAGAAAGTATTCACAAGCCTCCGTAGATCTGATGAGGAACTCCTACATCTCAAAATAAAGAAAGAAAAAAACAAGCAACCTAATCCAAACATGGATTTCAATAGAGATTTCAAAGACATAAAAATGGCGAACAGGTGTATGAAAAAATGTTCAACATCGCTCATAACCAAGAAAATGCAAACAAAACCATAATGAGATCTCACCTTGCAACACTTAGACTGTTGTCAAAAACAAAAGATAAAAAGTGTGAAGAAAAGGGAAACTTTGCACACCACCATTGTTGGGAATATAAAATAATGCATACTCTAAGACAAACAGTAGGAAATTCCTCAAAAAATTAAAAATAGAAAACTGTATGATCTTATGGTACCACTGCTGGGTGTATATCCACAAAAATTTAAATAAGTATTTAAAAAGACATCTGCACTCCCCTGTCACTGCAGCACTGTTCACAGTAGCCAATTTAGTGACACAACCTAATGCTCACTGACAGGTGGATTAATAGGTATGATGTCGTACCTACACACAATTATAGGATTAGTCAGCCTTTAAAAAGGAGGAAATTCTGCCACTTGCAATGACATGGATGAGCCTTGATAACATTATTCTTAGTAAAATAAGCCAGTCACAGAAGAATAAATACTGCATGATCCCATTTATAAGGCAACAAAAAATTGTTGCTGAAACTCTATTCTGTCAATATTTAATATACATTAATGGATACACTGGGAGCAAAGGTAGCCATCTAATTAAAGGACATACTTTAAGTAACATTACATTTTTTGTTAAATAATAATTTATTGACATTTTATATTTATTATTTTTATTGATTGTATACGAGTAACAATTTTAAGACAACTCAATGTAGACATTGGCTTAGGCAAGAATTTCAACCAAGAACCCAAAAGCAAATATAAATAGAAAGATAAATGACTGGGACCTAATTAAACTAAAGAGCTTTTGCACAGCAAAAGGAAGAGCCAGCAGAGTAAACGGACAACCCACAGAATGAGAGAAAATCTTCACAATGTATACATCTGACAAAGATTTAATATCCAGAATGGACAACAAACTCAAACAAATCAGTAAGAAAGAAACAATCCCATCAGAAACTGGGCCAAGAACATGAATAAACAATTCTCAGAAGAAGGTACAGTAATGGCCAACAAACATGAAAAAACGCTCAACATCACTAATGATCAAGAAAATGCAAATCAAAATGTGATCACATCTTACTCCTGTGGCCATAATCAAAAAATCAAGCAACAGTAGATGATGGCGTAGATGTGTGAACATGGAACACTTCTACACTGCTGGTGGGAACGTAAACTAGTACAGCCACTATGGAAAACCATGTAGAGATTCCTTAAAGAAACTAAAAGTAAAACTACCGTTTGATCCAGCAATCCCACTACTGCGTATCTACTCAGAGGAAAAGAAGACATTATATGAAAAAGATACTTGCACACACATTGTATAGCAGCACAATTCACAATTGCCAAATCATGGAACCATCCAACCCAAATGCCTATCAATCAACTAATGGATAAAGAAACTGTCATATATCAAAATGGGATACTATATAGCCATAAAAAGGAATGAATTTATGGCATTTGCAGTGACCTGGATGAGATAGGAGACTATTATTCTAAGTGAAGTAACTCAGGAATGGAAAATCAAGTATTATATGTTCTCACTGACACGTGGGAGCTAAGCTTT